ACCCAGAGTGATACACAGAAAACCATAGAGAAACATAGAGACCCATAGAGACACATAGAGACCCATAGAGATACATAGTGACCCATAGAGACACACAGAGACCCAGAGTGATATACAGAGAACCAGAGAAACATAGAGACCGACAGGGACACATAGAGGCCCATAGAGATACATAGTGACCCATAGAGACACACAGAGACCCATAGAGATACGTAGAGATCCAAATATATACATAGAGACCCATAGAGACACATAGAGACCCATAGAGATACATAGTGACCCATAGAGACACACAGAGACCCAGAGTGATATACAGAGAACCAGAGAAACATAGAGACCGACAGGGACACATAGAGGCCCATAGAGATACATAGTGACCCATAGAGACACACAGAGACCCATAGAGATACGTAGAGATCCAAATATATACATAGAGACACATAGAGATACACAGAGACCCATAGCAATACACAGAGAACCATAGTGATACATAGAGACCCATAGAGATACACAGAGACCCATATAAAACACACCTAGAGTGATACATAGAGAACCATAGTGATACATAGTGACCCATAGAGACACACAGAGACCCATAGAGATACGTAGAGATCCAAATATATACATAGAGACACATAGAGATGCATAGAGACCCATAGCAATACACAGAGAACCATAGTGATACATAGAGACCCATAGAGATACACAGAGACCCATATAAAACACACCTAGAGTGATACATAGAGAACCATAGTGATACATAGTGACCCATAGAGACACACAGAGACCCATAGTGATACATAGAGACCCATAGAAATACACAGAGACCCATAGAGACACACAGAGACCTAGAGTGATACACAGAGAACCATAGAGCAACATAGAGACCGACAGGGAAACATAGAGACCCATAGATATACATAGAGACCGATAGAAACACACAGAGATCCAGAGATACACAGAGAACAATAGAGATATATAGAAACCCATATAGATACAAAGTGACCCATTGAGACACACAGAGACCCATAGTGATACATAGAGACCCATAGAGATATGTAGAGACCCACAGAGATACAGATAGACCCATACACAGAGACCCATTAATACCCAAAGAGACCCAAAGAGAACCAAAGTGATACAGAGACCGAATGAGACACAGAGAGATCCAGAGATACACAGAGACCCATAGTGATACATAGAAACCTATAGGGACACACAGAGACCCATATTGATACATAAAGACCCATAGAGAAATACAGAGGCCCATAGAGATAGAGACCGATAAAGACACATAAAGATCCATAGATACAAAGAGACACATAGAGACACACAGAGACGCATAGAGATACAAAGAGAATCATGGCCTCCAAAAGGGATACATAGAGTCCGACAGGGACACATTGAGTCTGACAGGGACCTATATATATATATGGTGACCCATACAGACACATAGAGACCAATAGTAAACATAGTGACCCATAGAGACCCATACAAATACATACAGACCGACACACAGAAACCAACAGACACACAGAGACACATAGAGACACACAGAGACCCATACAGATACAAAGAGACACATATAGACACACAGAGACCCATAGTGATACATAGAGACCCATAGAGATACACAGAGATCCATAGAGACCCATAAAGACACACAAAGATCCAGAGATACACAGAGACCAATAGAGCTATATAGAAACCCATAGAGATACAAAGTGACCCATAGAGACACACAGAGACCCATAGTGATACATAGAGCCCCATAGTGATACATAGAGACCCATAGAGATATGTAGAGACCCACAGAGATACACAGGGACCCATAAATACCCATAGAGACCAAAGAGAACCATAGTGATACAGAGACCGAATGAGACACAGAGAGATACACAGAGACACATATAGATACATAGAAACCCATAGGGACACACAGAGACCCATAGTGATACATAGAGACCCATACAGATACATAGAGATCGATAGAGACACAGAGATCTAGAGAGAGACCCATAGACATACACATAGACCGATAGAGAAACACAGAGGCCCCATAGTGATACATAAAGACCCATAGAGATACATAGAAACCTAAAGTGAGACATAGAGACCCATAGAGATACATATAGATCGATAGAGAGACACAAAGATCCATAGATACACAGAGACACACAGAGACCCATAGAGATACAAAGAGATTCATGGAGTCCGACAGGGACACATAGAGTCTGACAGGGACCTATATAGATACATAGTGACCCATAGAGACACATAGAGACCAAAAGTAAACATAGTGACCCACAGAGACCCATACAGATACATACAGACACAAAGAGATCCAAAGATACACAGAGACACATAGAGACACACAGAGACCCATATAGATACATTGAGACCGATAGAGACAAACAGAGATCCAGGGATACACAGAGACCCATAGATACACACAGAGATTCAGAGACACAAAGAGACCCATAATGATACATAGAGACCCATATAGATACATAGAGACTGACAGGGACACAAAGAGATCCATGGATACACAGAGACCCATAGATACACACAGAGATCCAGAGACACACAAGAGACCCATAAAGACCCAGAATGTTACATAGAGACATATATAAATACATAGAGACCAATAGAGACACACAGAGACCCATAGAGACACAGAAACCCATAGAGACACAGAGACCCTTAGAGACAAAGAGACCCATAGTCATACATAGAGACCCACAGAGACCCACAGACACCCAGAGAGACACACACAGAGAACCATAAAGATGCATAGAGACCCAAATACTAAACTAAACGATATAGATTTTCCAGGTAACGAGCTATGTAGCGCTGGCTATTACAAATGATAGAAGCTCAACCAAGTGGCTGATAACATCATCATCATCATCATGTGGAAATGTACACACACCCACAGAGACTCAGACTCACCACACTGAAACCCACACACTCACCACAGACACCCACAAACTCACCATACTAAAACCCACACACTCACCCCACGGAGACCCACAGACTCACAACACAGACACAGAGAGACCCACACTCACCACACTAAGACCTGCAGATTCACAACACAGAGACCAACAAAATAACAAAATATATATAAAACAATAAAAAATTCTCACGACGTTTCGACCATAACTCAAACGGTCATCATCAGGTGTGTTGGTTTGCATAAATTTATTTTTAAACGGCACATTTATTTATTTATTAAAAAAAACGTTGGCGTCACGCGCAGCGATTGGCAGTTTGCCCAGGACTAGTCCATCTATTTTTTTGGAAAAGAGGAGGGGGGAGACGAAATTTTTAATAATGTATGCTGTCTGAAAGCCACTGTAAGCGTGAACAATCAATCAAGAACTGAAATGATTTATCAAATCTTTCCAATGATTGCTAAGATAGAATCCATCTTCTCGGTTGAAATTGTCTCTGTGCTTGTATATGTGGATAGCCTCATGAACGAATCTCTCATGGAAGCCAGATGGCTTACAAAGAACCTCCGTCTTGGAAAAGTCAATGGCATGTGAGCCTACTGAATTAGAACAATGATCTGCTACGGCCGAGGTGTTGGTCCTACCGTGTTTAAGGTCTGCTTTATGTTCACGGAGTAACCATTAGCCCTAAGAGCTTGGTGTACGTGCTTGAGTTCACTGTTTATGTGTTCCTGGTCGGATATGCATTGGGCTCTATGATACAGCTCTTAGGGCTAATGGTTACTCCGACTATACAATCCGCAAAGCTATCACTCAAACCATGAAGAAGAACCCTCTTGAGGAGCCTTTCAAAACCATCACTTTACCCTAAATTGCTGGAATCACAAAAAAGATCTCCAAAATCTTGAATAAACACAAGATCCAGGTCCGTTTCAACACATTACATAAAATCCGTGATCTGGTTCCGTCTGTAAAAGATGTGATTCCGGACATACAATACCCTGGTGTCTACAAACTAAGTTGCCTCTGTGGTAGTAGTTACATTGGAGAAACCAAACGCCATGTCTCGGACCGCATTCGTGAACATAAAGCAGACCTTAAACACGGTAGGACCAACACCTCGGCCGTAGCAGATCATTGTTCTAATTCAGTAGGCTCACATGCCATTGACTTTTCCAAGACGGAGGTTCTTTGTAAGCCATCTGGCTTCCATGAGAGATTCGTTCATGAGGCTATCCACATATACAAGCACAGAGACAATTTCAACCGAGAAGATGGATTCTATCTTAGCAATCATTGGAAAGATTTGATAAATCATTTCAGTTCTTGATTGATTGTTCACGCTTACAGTGGCTTTCAGACAGCATACATTATTAAAAATTTCGCCTCCCCCCTCCTCTTTTAAAAAAAAAAATAGATGGACTAGTCCTGGGCAAACTGCCAATCGCTGCGCGTGACGCCAACGGTTTTTTTTTATAAATAAATAAATGTGCCGTTTAAAAATAAATTTATGCAAACCAACACACCTGATGATGACCGTTTGAGTTATGGTCGAAACGTCGTGAGAATTTTTTATTGTTTTATATATATTTTGTTATTTTGTTGTTTCTCTTCAACGTGACTTTACCGAAAAAACTAAGAATATGAATTACTGCAGTCACGAAAGCTTTAAATCAAAATTTAACATACACTCGACTTACTAACACCACCAGCACTTACGAACACCACCCACACTTACGAACACCACCCGCACTTATAAACACCACCCACACTTACGAACGAGCTTCCATGAAATATATATTTGTTTAACATCGACTTACAACTCGCACTTGCGAACCGAACCGTGGAACGATCCTCCGCGAGATGTAATGAGTGTTTGTGATGCCTGTACACTACTCTGTGGCACCACGGTGGCTATGAGATGTTAACAACCTCACTAGGTATACAGGAGGTCGTGGGTTCGACCCCGACCCTTAGGCCTACTGTTTATTTGAAGTCTGTGTGTGTAGAGGAGCCTACTCTCAATATTGTTTTTGTGTGTGTGTGTGCGTGTAGACGAGCCAAGCTGGAGCGAGAAGGAGGGAGGGAGTCTCTGACAACACGTGGAGCGCGCTGTCAGCAGCCGGCACCGGCCCTATCTGCAGTAAATCGCCTCGAGGTGAGGACAGCAGTGAGCAAACATGTCCATCGGTGAATGGGGGGAAGTCACTACCGCCATTTTGCATGGGGGACTTCACAGTGGCCATGTTGCTTAGGGGACTTTATGGCAGCCATGTTGCACGGGTGACTTCATTGTTGCAATTTTGCATGGGGGATGTCACGGCAGCCATGTTGCATGGGGTACATTACTATGGCCATGTTGCATGGGGGACGTCATACTGGACATGTTACGTGGGGGATTTCACGGTGGCCATGATGCATGGCAGTCTATAGGATGGCCACGTTGCATGAGGGATATCACAGCGGCCATGTTGCATGGGGGTTGTCATGGTGGCCATGTGACATGGGGGATGTAACGGCAGCAATATTGCGTGAGGGATGTAACTTCGGCCATGTTGCAAGGGGGACTTTATTGCGGCCATCTTGCATGAGGGCTGTCCTAATGGCCATGTTGCATGGGGGATGTCACGTCAGCCATATTGGATGGGGGTTGTCATGGTGGCCATGTTACATGTGTATACAGTATTTGGCTGCCGCGATATATTTCCACGTGATGAAGATGATGATATCAGCCACTTCGGTGGGGCTTTACCAGCCAAAATAAAAAAAATATATACATATAGTTTAGTTTTACGATGGGTCCCTGTGGGTGTTTATTGTTCAATATGAGCATGGATCTCTGTGGGTCTCTATGGATCTATATAAGTATGGGTCTCTATGGGTCTCTATGGTTCGATACTTGTATGGGTCTCTATGGCTCTCTGTGGGTCTCTATGGTTCGATACGAGTTTGGGTTTCTGTGGGTCTCTGTGGGTTTGAGTTGAGTGATGAGTCTCCACGTGAAGATGATGATGAGGATGACGATGTAGCTCTTACCTGGAATGTAAGAGAAACAGAAATAGTTCAAAGTTTAAGTTGTTGTTGCTGGCACGTGTGCAGAGATCCTGGATCTCTTCGGGCCCCAGCTGAGTCATCGCCAGAAGCTGGAGCTGGCGGCCATGAAACAAGTATGGTTCTTCACTGTGGACAAGGTCGGCAAACCCCGGGGCGGCAACAACAACGACAGCTACGACGACGAAAACAACAACTACATCCCTGTGAGGCTCACAGAGATACAGAGATACCCATAGAGACCCACAGCGCCACACATAGAGACACCCACAGAGACCCACAGAGACACCCATAGAGAACCACAGAGACCCAAAGAGACACCCACAGAGACCCACAGAGACACCCACAGAGACCCACAGAGACCCAAAGAGACACCCACAGAGACCCACAGAGACACCCACAGAGACCCACTCCTATTGAGACCCACAGAAGCACCCAAAGAGACACCATTAGACACCCACAGAGGTTTTTGTTGGGTTAAAAGGCATGAGTATAAATTTGTAACCTGCCACCACCACCAGACACAGACAGTCAGTTAAGGTTTTGTGTTACGGGTTTCTGGGGATCTCTGTGGTTGTCTAGGGATCTGTGTGGGTCTTTATTGGTCTGGGTCTCTGTGGGTCTCTCTGAGTATCTCAAGATCTGGGTCTCTGTGTATGTGTTAAAGTTATTTCACGCCATTTGTAGCAAACTTTGGCTAATTTTCACACAACGACGTCGGCCGCAATGGCCAGGAGATGTTAACTCCCTCGCCTGGTATACAGAAGGTCGTGGGTTGGATACCGACCCTGACACCTGCTGTATATTTGGAGTTTGCGTCTCTATCTCTCTCTCCGTGGTTGCATGGATTTTTCTCCGGGTCCTCCGTTTTCTTTCCTTCCACATTTATAATCAACGTCACCACACATTGAGAGCAATTGGCTTCCGCTATACATTTCCACACGGTGGTAATGATAAGGCCACTTCGTTGAGCAATGATTTGAGATGGCCAGGTTGCTTTTGAACAAGAATAGTTACATAGCAGCCCAGTGGTGGAGCCTTTAACAGCATAACAATAGGCTGCAGCCTTTCTGGAAATAAAACGCATACTGGTGGTGAACATGCAAACAACAACATGCTCTGATAATGTGGCATTGCCTTTGAAACTGATTGGTCTACACCAGAGAGAACAGCCTTCTTTCGGGCCTAGTCTCAATACCTGGGTCTCACCACCAGTTGTTCGCCACCAGTGTCTCACTACCAGTATCTCATTACCTGTCTCACCACCAGTGTCTCACAACCTGTGTCTCGCCACCAGCGTCTCGCCACCAGCGTCTCACCACCAGCGTCTCACAACCAGCGTCTCACAACCTGCATCTCACCACCAGTGTCTCACCACCAGTGTCTCACCACCAGTGTCTCACCACCAGTGTCTCACCACCAGTGTCTCATTACCTGTATCTCACTACCTGTCTCACTACCTGTCTCACCACCAGTATCTCATCACCAGTGTCTCACCACCAGTGTCTCACTACCAGTGTCTCACTACCCAGTGTTAGATGGATAAACGCAAAAAGGCGAACAACTCCCCCAAGTTTTAACGCAATTCGGTATTCTTGGGTCTTTCGGTAAATTAACGTACTGTAGATAGGTTCAAAGAAAATATAAAAAAATAACAGGAAGACGACCGCTTGTGTTGCGATCAAAACGTCGTGGTTTTCTGTTATTTTTTATTATTTTCTTTGAACCTATCTACGTGACTTTACCGAAAGATCCAAGAATATGAATTCCTGCAGTCACAAAAGCTTTAAGTCAAGCATTCGGCAGTTTAGCGAACCATTTATACATTTCCGCGATCTAACACCCAAGCAAAAATAAACCTCCGTGGTGGAAAATGGCGGTCTTGGAAGCCCCGACTGCTGCTGCCACCACCGAGCGTTAGGCGCTCCGATTGCGACGCCTCTGAGTACCGGCCCCCGTCTCTTCCTCCGCCTCCTAGGTCCGCAAGGAACAGCTCAACTACCGCTATGAGGTGCAGAAGATGATCGGCGAGGGAGGCCAGGGCCTGGTGCTGCAGTGCCGCGACCACAAAACCAAAACGCTCGTGGCCGTCAAGATGCTGTCACTGCCCTTGTGGTGAGTCAGAGGGCCTTCCGCGGTGGCCCGCACTCTCGGAAAATAATCATCAATGATTGGAGTTAAAGCCGTGAAACTGCCAGTAACTATGGACTCGCTGACAAAATACTAACTGCCGCAAAACTTCTGCTAACTATAAACTAACAAAATACTAACTGCCGTAAAACTACTGCTAAATATGAACAAACTAAAAAAGATTCTAACTGCCATAAAACTGCTGCTAAATACGAACCAACAAATGTTTAACTGTCGTAATACTTACTGCTAACTATGAACTTGCTCACCAAATAATAACCTGCCGTGAGACGACTGCTATGAACTAAAGTTAACTTTCAAAATAATAACTACCGTGCAACTGTTGCTAACTCTAAACTAAAAACTAACAGACCCATAGAGACCCACAGAGACCCATAGAGACGAACAAAGACACCCAGACCCTGAGAGACCCATAGAGGCCCACAGCAACACCCAGACCCTGAGAGACCCACAGAGACACCCACAGCGACACCCAGACCCTTAGAAATCCACAGAGACACCCAGACCCTGAGAGACCCAAGAGACACCCAAACAAACAAAGACCCTTAAAGAACCACATAAACACCCAGACCCTTAGAGACCCACAGAGGCCCACAAAAACACCCAGACCCATAGAGAGCCACAGATATCCACAGAGTAACCCACAGAGGCACCCACAGAGACAACCACAGAGACCTATAGAGTCACCCACGGAGACCCCCACAGAGACCCCCACAGAGTCACCCACAGAGACCCCCACAGGGTCACCTACAGAGAAACCCACAGAGACCCCCACAGAGACCCCCACAGTCACCCAAAGACCCGCACAATCACCCACAGAGTCACCCACAGAGACCCCCACAGATTCACCCACAGAGACCCCCATAGAGTCACCCACAGAGACCCCCACACAGACCCCTACAGAGACCCCTACAGAGACCCCCAAAGAGACCCCCACAGAGACCCCCACAGAGACCCCCACAGAGTCACCCACAGAGTCACCCACAGAGTCACCCACAGAGACACCCACACAGAGTCACCCACACAGAGTCACCCACACAGAGTCACCCACAGAGTCACGCACAGAGACCCTCACAGAGTCACCCACAGAGTCACCCTCACAGAGTCACCCTCACAGAGTCACCCACACAGAGTCACCCAAACAGAGTCACCCACACAGAGTCACCCACACAGAGACACCCACATAGAGTCACCCACACAGAGTCACCCACACAGAGTCACCCACACAGAGTCACCCACACAGAGTCACCGTTGATTTCGTGGCCTTCCCCCTCCCGTTGCGCAGCTCCTCGACAGCGGCCCGCCAGAGGACGGAGCTGGAGGTGGCCAAAAAGCTGCAGGGCAGGGCCAGCGATGAGCGCTATGGAGTCATCCGGGTCCTGGACACGTTCGAATTCCGCGGCCACAATTGCCTCGTCGTCGAGCTCTTGAAGTACGTGAACCTTCCCACCCCCCCCCCCCACCACCCACCCACGTGCGTCTCCATTGCTCCGTTCGATAGTTGATTTATTTCGGAATTAATATTTATTTAATATTTGATCAAGCAACTAGATTTATCGATTTATCACATTTATTAATTGAGTTTTACACGCAGGGCTTTTGCGACCATTATAATCCATAATAGAGGTATTTTTGGGTTAGATCGCTTAAAAATATAAATGTTGCGTCGTTAAACCCGCCACAACCCGACACAGCCAACTAGTAAGGGTTGTCACGCAAACAGAACGTGCCAATTCGTTACTAGTACAGCACTAGTGTGTAGTGTATAGTAGTGTAGTGTATAGTGTAGTGTATAGTGTAGTATAATGGTACAGCACAACGGTGTGTTGGACAGCCAAGCCACAACATTTACAATCTCTGAGTATGACGTTTCGCTAGTAATTACAACCAGCTTCATCAGGCGAAAGTTAGATTTTGTGGAGAATTCCACCTGTTCCGTTCCTTATAAAGAGGCACAGATGTGGTGACCACACTTCTGTGCGGCAAAGTTGGGTGGGGGATTAATTTTCTAATTTGTTCCCCAATAGCTTTATTTAATAACTTTCATAATAAACTTATTTTGCAGTTTATTTAGTGAGTTTAAAGATAATTAACAATTCATCAAAATATGTCTCGCCTCGTTAAATGAATTAATTTAATCGAAGACGTAACTTATTTAATTGCTATTTTGGTAATTAATTTATGCAATAATTCATCTGACAATTTTACAATCACAATTTGTTTGGCAACCGAGTCTCCAAAGCTCTGGGAAGTCGAGCAGCACGCGTCCACGTGGCCCCCGTGGGTCAAGCAGCTCAGCACGGCGAACCGCTGCGTTATCGACAATCGCAGAACACCGTGGGGACAAAGCAGACGCAGGAAGTCCCCCGGGTTGCGGAAGACGCAACTCACGGAAACGTTCCCCATGAATCACACATTCTAATTTGTTTATGATATTGATAATCTACATGTGGAAAAAGGGAATTTGTGAATTTGTGTCTGTTTGAAATGTTTATGCAACAAACTTGAAATTTGGCATGTGGGTAGCTTCCAGACTGTACACAATGCAAAAAGTCTAAAAATAGACTTTTGTATTTTGGGGGGGGGGGGATGGCGGAATAATGCATGTAATACATTGCACGGCAAGTGAGTGGTGACGTCACATCTGTGATGTCACCCGCATGCGGCAGCGTCACGCAGTGTGCCTGCTGACGTCACGCATCCCCCCCCAACCCCCGCGTAGGCTGTGTATCCTGCACAAAAGCGCTGCATAGCTGCCTACATTTTCTAAGTCAACGCGACGAATTTCAGCTCGCTCCTAAATAGGAAGCAGAAAATCCATCTGTTTGTGTGAAGCAGCAAAAACTCTCGAACGCTGAGTTCTGACGTCGTGAAATTTGCACAGCTTACGCTGTCTGGAATTTCTAAGGGAACGCGACTATATTCAGCTCGCCACGTCATTCCCTTCCCGAGTTGCCTAAATCGACCTTACGTAGAAGTGGGTTAAAGTTGAATTTCCTTCAGTGAAAAACATCCGATTTAGTGAAATTGATTTGTTTAGGATTTTTTCTTTCTTGCAAGCATCAACCTTTTTTAAGGGTTTTCCAGTGTAATCTTTATATATACAGCAAAAGGGAAATGTGTAGATATGTGTGTCTGTTCGAAATGTTTAGCATACTTCCCAACATGCTACAAACTTTAAATTTGGCATGTGGGTAGCTTCCATACTGTACACAATGTAAAAAGTATAAAAAATTACTTTGTATTTTTTTGGGGGAGGGAATAATGGATATAATCTATTGCACGGCAGTGAGTGGTGACGGCACATCTGTGATGGAATAAACTATTAATTTCCGTGCGAAGAACGGGTACACATTCTAGTAAAATATATATTAATAAGCTATTTTTTTAAATAATAAAATAACACGATATTAATAAGATTCCAAAATAATAAGGAAATTATAATGAAATAATAATACAAATATATTGCTAATAGAAATTTTAATAATTTTTTAATTAATAAATATTCATAAAGTAACAATAAAAATATTATTGTTAAATTGTGATATGATAGTAATAAAATGATAGTAATGAAATTATAAAATAGAAATTGTAATAACAACATAATCACGGTGAAATTAGAATGAAATCATAATGAAATTATTATCATTAAATATTTCACGCACGGCAATGTTTTGTGCGCGTTAGTTCCCTCGGCGCTAGGGCAGCGCGGCGACGACGTGGATGAATACCGCGGAGCGACGAGGAGTTCCCTGGCCTCCCCTCCCCCCCCCTGCCAAAACTAACCAAGTGGCACAGTCGGTTTGGGGTCCGGGTTGTGGGTCGCCCTGCAGACGTTATCGGAACGGGAAAGGGGTTTTAACGTCGTCGTCGTCCTTGTCGTGCCAGGAAGAGCCTCTACGATGTCATGAGCAAAGGGAGCATCGGGCGAATCTACGTGAGGCGGTTGAGGGAGTACACCAGGGCCATCCTCGACTTCCTGTTGTACGCCAAGGGGCGGGGCATCGTCCACGGGGACATCAAGCCGGTGAGCGGAGCGGGCGCGGTGGTCGCGCCCTCTCGTCGGGGCGCTTGGTTAGCTGGCGCGGAGGCAGCCCGGCCACTGTTGATCACGGGGTCGATGCGGTGGCTCCGTCCATCTGGAGGGAGGTGGTGGTAGTGGTGGTGGTGGGGTCACTTTACCTCCGGTGAAGACGATCCGGGACGAGGTGGACACTCGTACCATAGAGGCAGGCCGGCCATGGTTGATTGCAGGGTCAATGCGCTGGCTCTGTCCTTCTACTGTGACTCTGCCACCTCCTCCTTCCAGATGGAGGAGGTAGCAGGAGATGTTAACTACCTCGCCAGGTATACAGGAGGTCGTGGGTTCGATCCCGACCCTGACGCCTGCTGTATGTTTGGTGTCTGCGTCTCTCTCTCCCCGTGGTGGTCACGTGGATTTTACTCCGGGTCCTCCGGTTTTTCCCTCCACGTTCAGAATCAACATCACCAAGCGTTTAGAGTATTTGACCGCTGCTTTAACATTTCCGCGTGATTATGATGATGATGATATCAGCCCACTTGGTTGAGCTATCGTTTGTGATGGCCAGGTCGCTTCTGACAGAACAGCTGCACAGCAGCACAGAGTGGGGCCTTACACCTAGTAAAGTAAATATAGCTTAGTTTTAGTTTGGGTCTCTCTATGTCTGTGTAGGTCTCTATGAGTATGGGTCTCTCGAAGTCTGTGTGAGTCTCTATGAGTATGAGTCTCTCTAAGTCTGTGTGAGTCTCTATGAGTATGGGTCTATTTCGGTCTTTATGGGTCTCTATGAGTATGGGTCTCTGTTGGTCTGTGTAGGTCTCGATGAGAATGGGTCTCTGTTGGTCTGTGTAGGTCTCTATGAGAATGGGTCTCTATATCTGTGTGGGTCTTTATAAGTATGGGTCTCTGTGGGTGTGTATGGGTCTCTATGGGCCTGTTGAAACATGTGTTTAGAGTGTTTGGCTGCTGCTATAAATGTCCACGCAATGATGATGATGATGCTAATGATGTTATTACGTGATGGCCAGGTCGTTTCTGATAGAATAGCTACACAGCAGCTCAGCGGGGCCTTACACCCTTGTAGTAACATAAAACAAATAGGTTTAGTAGTTTATTAAAACGACTTTGAACGGGTCTCAGGCACATAGCCCATGCCGAAAGTGGGAGGTGGGGGGGCTGCCTGTGTGGGTGTAAATGCGTCACTTTGCGTGATCGACCCACTGCTGGGTGGACATTCTTGCTGTAACCTCAGAGCGTGGAATTCCTTCTCTGTCTCTCCCCTTTGTCCAGGATAACATTCTGCTCACCGCGGCCGGCAAAGTCAGGGTCACCGACTTCGGGTGGAGCTCCTACCTGAAGCATAAAAGTGAGTGGCTTTGTGTGCGTGGAGTTTCTTTTTTCAGGGTTAGCTCGCGTCAACGTAAACGTTGCGTCGTCAAACCCGCCGCCATCCGACGCAGCCAGTAAGTGAGGTTCAGCGTCACGTAAACAGGACGCTCCAAATCGCCACTTGCACAGCACTAGCCGGTGTGCTGGAGATGTAAATCCACTACGACGTTTACAATTCGAGCGATTACAGCTGAGCATCATCATCGGGCGGGCAGCCAGAGTACGCGGTCCAACCCAAAAACTCGCCTCCGCCGTGAAATATCGGTCGCAGAAGCCGACTAGGCATTTAACCGACCGAAAAAAGAAACCTGTTCAACCCACGTCGCTGTTGACGGAGGGGCTACTTTATATTCATCGTCGTTGTGGTTATTGTTGTTGTTGCTGTGCAGCCCAAAACATGTGCGGGACGTTGCCCTACATGGCCCCGGAGCTGCTGCTGGGCTACTATGTCACCTGCGCTGTGGACATGTGGGCTCTGGGCTGCACCGTGGCTGAGATGGCCACTGGCAAGGATCTCTTTGATTCACGAATCTTCACAGAACACCTGCCCTACTGCATCGAGGTACGGTCGGTGGGTGGGTACGGTGGGTATGGTGAGTGGGTATGGTGGGTGGGTACGGTGGGTATGGTGGATGGGTGGGCGGGCAGGTCTTTATGGATATGGGTCTTTGTGGGTCTGCACAGAGACCCATACTCATAGAGAACCATGCAGACCCACAGATACCAATACTCAGAGTTTGATTCGTCTGGCGGCCACAAACAACCGGCGAGGAATATCTAACCTAGTCCTGGACCTCTCATAGGTCGACGCAGCCTCAAACGAGTACTTGGTGTAGCGGTGTGTAGTAAACATTTCCACTGGGGGAGACAAAGGTGGCCGGGTGTGGTGCTGGGCACCCACCCCCTTGTGTGCCGTTCCGGCCTTCAAAGGTGCTGCTCGCTGCTAACAGCACTTGCCCCAGCAATGAGATGAGGCTAATACGGGGAAGGGGAGATTGTTGTATTTGTACACAGTGCTGGCCTTCATAGGTGCTGCTCGCTACTAACAGCGCTTGCCCTAGCAATGAGATGAGTCTAATAAGGAGAGGGAGGGATTGTTGTCTTTGTACACAGTGCCGGCCTCGACAGGCGCTGCCTCCGCCACTAATCACCGCTGACAGACGGCACTTGCCCCAATGGGCCAGCTGAGGCTACACCGGCTGTAACCCTCCCCCCCTCCTCCTTTTGTCTTCGTCCAAAACCGTGCGCAGATCCTGGGCATGCCCCCGAAAAAGATGGTGGACGAAGCACCTAACAAGACAACTTACTTTGGTGAGTCGCCAGCGACGTGACCCATTCCGTTTTGTTAGATGGGGGGGGTGGCAGTGAAGCTCTTATAGGGTTCTATTGTGGGGGGGGGCTCTGATTATCCCGGAGGTGGGGGGGTGGGGTGGGGGTTGGGGATCTTTGTAACAGTCGTTAGGAAGCATAGGTGGGTGGGTGAGTGAGCGGGTGGGTGGGACGGTGGGTGGGGAGGTGAGTGGGTCGGTGAGTGGGTGGGTGGGTTAGTGAGTGGGAGACTGGGTATGTAGGTGGTGAGTGGATATGTAGGTAGGTAGGTGGGCGACTGGATAGGTAGGTGGGTAAGTGCATAGGTGGGTGGTTGAGTTGGTCGGTGTGAGGGTATGTGGGTAAGTGCGCAGGTGAGTGAGTTGGTGGGTATGTAGGTCTATAGGTATGTGGGTAGGTAAGTGGATGAGCGGGTATGTGGGCGACGTGGTGGTTGGTGACTCTGCGTGCGTCTCTCTGTCTCTGCAGACCCTGAGGGCCTCCCCTACAACCTGTCCAAGCAGGGGCCACCGGGAAGCCTCCCTCTGCACCGCGCGCTGCAGGGCCACCACCCTCAGCTGGTGGACTTCGTCAGCCGTTGCCTGCAGTACGAACCACACTCACCCCTCGCTCACCCCCACTCATCCCCACACCACTCACCGCCACTCACTCACCCCCACTCACCACCCCATACCTGTCAACACCTTATCACTGCCCTACCTTACTACAGACACAACATTATTGGTCACCCCGTGACCCTTATAAATCTCAACGTTCATCCTGCAAAATCCCATCACAAGGGACAAACAAACAAATAGACACGAATTATTGTTGTTACCCAGAATTGAAACGGCTGCACTCCGTACGGACCTGAAAACACAATTTCCCTGCACAAGAATATCTAATAAACCGTACGGGTTGACAGCTCGGCCACCCACTCACCACCCACCACCACTTCCTCCCACCCTCTCCATCTCTCCCCCCACGCCGCCATCTCCCCACTCTCCCCCCACCTCCCACCCTGTCAAATCATCTCACCATGCCCCTCTCACCACGTGTGTGTCTCCCCCCATCCCTTCTCTCCCTCCCTGTGCGTCTCCCAATAGATGGGATCCGAATCTCCGGATGACGCCTGAGCAGGCGCTGGCTCACAGCTGGCTCCAAAACACCACCACCACCACCACCCGGGACACTACCAGAAGGGCCACCCCCACCAATGCCACCATCCGGGCCACCACCACCACCACCTTCAGGGGCACCTCCACTGCTAGCGAGGCCACCACCAGCAGCAAGGCCACCCCCACTTCCAGCGAGGCCAACCCCACCACCACCACCATTCGGGCCACCACCGTCACTCGGGCCACCACCACCAGCGAGGCCACCCCCACCGCCAGCGAGGCCACCCCCACAACCACCACCATCCGAGCCACCACCACCAGCTGGGCCGACACCACCAACTGGGCCACCATCAGCAGCAGCGGTGGCACCACTCCTGTGCAGGGATCTGCAGCTGCTGAGCCACGGTAAGCCTCTCTCTGTGTACCTCGCCTGGTACGCAGGAAGTCGTGGGTTCGATCCCGACCCTGATGAGATATTAACCACCTCGCCTGATACGCAGGACGTCGTGGGTTCGATCCCGACTCTGATGAGACGTCAACTACCTCGCCTGGTACGCAGGAGGTCGTGGGCTCGATCCCGACCCTGACGATGCCAGCTGCTGCTGTATATTTGCAGTCTGCGTTTCTGTCCCCGTGGTCACCGCGTGGATTCTTCTCAGGGTCCTCAGGATTTTCCCCTCCACGTTGAGAATCGGCGTCATGCACTTCGAGTAATTGACTGCCGCTATGAATGTCCACGCGATGAAGATGATGATGATGTTATCTGCCCACTTGATTCGGCTATCATTCGAGATGGCCAAGTCGCTTCTGGTCTAAGTGGGTCTATGGATATCTGTGGGTCTATGCGTCTCTGTTATTATGGGCCTCAGAGGTCTGTATGGGTCTCTATGAGTATGGGTCTCTGGGGTCTGTATGGGCTGTATTAGTATGGGTCTCTGTGTGTCTCTGAATATGGGTCTATGAGTATGGGTCTGTATAGGTCTCTATTAGTATGGGTCTCTGTAGATCTGTATGGGTCTGTATGAGTATTGGTCTGTATGGGTCTCTATGAGTATGGGTCTTTGTGAGTGTAATGAGTGGCTCCAACACGATAAGAACTTGAAACGTTTATTAATAAATCTTCGGTACAGTTGGCCGTCTACTCGTCTCTTGTCACTCGCACCACGGATGCATGGCCCCCCAAGCGGCTTCGCTGCCCTGCGCGCTCGCCCCACTCTCTAGCACGCCGCTGGCTGACGGCGCTGGCTAGGGAGCGGCTGAGTGGCTGAAGGTCGAGCCGCCACGTGGCCGATGATGGCAGAGCAGCGGCGGCGACGGGAATCTCCTCTTGATTCTTCACACACCGACCCCGCACCTTGCTCCGGCCCCCGCTTATATTCGCTCCCCGGCGACTAAACCCCGCCTCTGGCCACGCCCCTCATGGAAGCTTCGGGAGCATTCCAGAGGCTTCCCGGGTGGCTCCGCCCCATTACCTTTGGCCTCGATGTAATCTTTCCCCGAGATAACCCATAACTGCATATCACACCACACCCCATATAAAACAGGAGATGGCGCTCTCATTACATGAGTATGGGTCTCTGTAGGTCTATGGGTCTGTATGAGCATTGGTCTGTATGGGTCTCCATGAGTATGGGTCTCTGTGGGTATGTATGGGTCTCTATGAGGATGGGTCTCTATGAGTATGAGTCGCTATGAGTATGGGTCTATGTAGGTCTATGGGTCTCTGTGGGTATGATAATGACAATGATGATGACGATGTTGATGATGAAGACGATGTTGATGATGCCGATGATGATGACGACGATGATGACGATGATGCGCTGCTGTGGTGTTGCTGCCTCTCTCCACAGAGCGGAGCCGGAGGAGAAGCTCCCATCACCATCGTCATCGTCACTGCTCACCCAGACCTTTGGAGAGAGGACGGAGGTGGTGGAGACGCAGGAGGATGACGACAACGAGGAGGATAAAGAGGAGGATGAAGAGGAGGAGGATGAAGAGGAGGATGAAGAGGAGGAAGAGGAGGAGGAAGAGGAGGAAGAGGAGGAGGAAGAGGAGGAGGAAGAGGAGGAAGAGAAGGAAGAGGAGGAGGAGAGGGAGCGAGGGGTCCTGGCGCGTGTGGGCAGGGCGCTCCGCTCGCTCTTCGGCCGTCTGCTCCTCTGTGGTGGACGGCCCACGGCAGAGTAGCGGAGTGGTGGTGGTGGAATCGGTGCAACCACCACCACGAGCAGCAGCAGCAGCAGCAGCACCACCACCACCACACTCACTCACCACCCACACTCACCACACTCACCACCCACACTCACCGCACTCACCACCCACTCACCACCCACACTCACCACTGACACCACACTCACTCACCACCCACACTCACCACACTCACTCACCACCCACACTCACCACCCACACTCACTCACCACCCACACTCACTCACCACCCACACTCACTCACCACCCACACTCACCACCCACACTCACCACACTCACCACCCACACTCACCACCCACACTCACCACCCACACAACCCATACTCACCACCCACACTCACCACTCACACTCACCACCCACACACCACCCACACTCACCACTGACACCACACTCATCACCCACACTCACCACACTCACTCAACACCCACACCACCCACACTCACTCACCACCCACACTCACCACCCACACTCACCACCCACACAACCCATACTCACCACCCACACTCACCACTCACACTCACCACCCACACACCACCCACACTCACCACACAATGGACTACAGCCAGCCTAGCCACGTGCGCGTGTGAAGAGTTAGGATAGAGATACAAAATAAGTTATAATGTAATAATGTGTACATATATATCTAGACCATTGTTTATCGATTGTTGTTGTTAATAAATAAGCGGACTCAACAGAACGTTGCAGTTGTGTTTGTTGTGGCGAGTTGCTGCTGCCTGGGGTCTCAGGTGACTTGCCTGGTATATAGGTCGTGGGTTCAATTCCGACCCTGATGAGATGTTTACCACCTCGCCTGGTACATAGGAGGTCGTGGGCTCAATTCCGACCCTGATGAGATGTTAACTACCTCGCCTGGTACGCAGGAGGTCGTGGGATCAATTCCGACCCTGATGAGATGTTAACTACCTCGCCTGGTATACAGGAGGTCGTGGGTTCGATCCTGACCCTGACGATCCCTGCTGCTGTATATTTGGAGTCTATGTCTCTCTCTCATCATCACAGTGGCTGGGAGATGTTAACTACCTCGCCTGGTATACAGGAGGCCGTGGGTTCCATCCCAACCCTGACGATGCCTGCTGATGCTGTGTATTTGGAGTCTAGATTTAAAGCTTTCGTGACTGCTAGGATCCATACTCTTTGGTTCTATTGGGTAAAGTCACATAGGTAAAAATAAAATAACAAAAAATCACGACGTTTCGGCCACAACACAAGCGGCCTTCATCAGGTGAAGGGACGAGCCTGTCTGGAGGACAGCGCTGGAGTGGAAGAAGCCACGCTTAGATCACGACATTTAAGCTGTGTGAGAAGAAGAAAAAGACCACGCGCTTTGACAAAGGAATTAGCATATAATTTAGCATTGAAATGGCTCATTGAAATAGCTAAGTTAAAGTATACACATCCGCAGAGGTGCCCCTTGACAAAGGAATTAGCATCGAATTTAGCATTGAAATAGCTGAGTGATTAGCTAGTAGCTGGTCACAGAAATAGCTATGTTAAAGTTAGAGTATATACATTCACCGAGGCACCTAGTACTCATCAAACAGGATAATTTAGCGAAACACAACCACGCTCAGACATCGGACCTATGTTCGAGCCTACAAGGTGTTCTGACAAAGAGATTAGCATAAAAATTAGCATTTGATTGGCGAATTTTAGGAAAGAGGTGGTGTACGTGCCGGTGGACTTGCAGTTTGGCGCGGGGGAAGGGGGGAGGGGGATTTTACCTATTGATGGTGTGAAGATGGGAATTTATAAGAGCTGCGAAAGTTTGGGGTACCACTACTCGAAAAATATACTGTACCATTGAAGTTTAACACGTAGGCTTTCGCGACCAATATTATTCATAATAAAGGTTTTTGGGTTAGATCGCGTTTATTTATAAATGTGTCGTAACCCTCCACCACCCGACACGGCCAATCAGCAAAAAAAAAGTGTCACGTTGACAAAAGACAAATAATTCACTACTTTAGTCCACCGGTGTGTTGAAGAGTGAATCCACATTTACAGTTTGAGTACGACGTTTCGCTGGTAAATACATCCAGCATCATCGGGCAATTCACCAGAATGGTAAAGCCCTCGCTTGCCCCGGTTTTATATAGAGCAGCAGGGTGACGTCATCACTTAACTCATATCAGGTGCAGTGATTAGAGGCGGAGGGGGGGGTATTGTAATTATATAATCGATTAGTAATCAGTCATTGGTTATGATTAGTAATGAGTTGTAGATTAGTAATTCTTTAAATCAAAATGTAATGTGTATTATTTAATAATACGCTTCCAGGCCGCACTAAGCCTGTAGCTGTCAGAGCGATTAAAGTTATTCTTGTTCCTCTCAATTTCAATGGATTCTCTAATTAGTCTTTGCCAGTAATAATTAGTTTTACACACCACTGCAACATTGTCAAAATCAATTGAGTGTCCTTGTTGACAAGCATGTTCTGCCACTGCCGACAGTTGTGTTTGAGATAATTTAATATTTCTCTGATGTTCTTTTAGTCTTACGCTGATGTTACGTCCCGTCTGCCCAATGTAGCAGCTGCCACATGAACAATTAATCCGATATACACCTTCTGTTGATAGTTTAGGTAATGTGTCTTTAGTACAAGATACTAGTTTTTGAATTTTGTGTACTGTACCAAATCTTACTGTAATGTTTTGCTTTTACAAAACACGGGCTAATTTGTCCGTTACTCCTGAGATATATGGAATTTTTATTGTTTTAACAATCTGGTCGCTTTCAGCAGTATTGCTTTGCAATCGTGATTTGGCATTCAGTGCTCTGTTAATTTGAGCATTA